AAAGTTTGATATATTTCATAGTTCTGGAATTCAAAAAGAATTCCTTTTGGAGATTTTCCGTGCTGTCTAACATATTATATTGAATTTTACATTCTCGTATGAACTGACTATGATTTTCTTGCGTTACACATAAAAATAATACGCGCGTAGTTTTATGACAAAGAAAACATGCAACGATTGTAATCAAAAGAATCCCTAGAAGCACAATATATTGGCACGATATTGGAAAATAATGTGAATCTAGTATTGGCAATATTGGTCCAATATTGTAAGATGGACGCCTTCTATTAGTTTATAGCTAATACCTCTATTTAGCAATATTGTATCAATATTAGACCAATATTCTTATTACATTGTTAAATATTAACCAATGCACTGCCATTATAAATCAAATATTATGTAATTATTATCGTGCAATATTTACATTTATTCCATTGGCTTTACATTGAACAACATCAGCCAATGCATTTCTAATATAACCAACATTGGACCAATGTTTAGCTAATGTTTAGCCAATGCACTCTGCTAACTTGGAGTAAGTTCTAACATCATGGACACAGGCCTTTAGACGTGCCGTATCTAGAAATCTAGATATTTGTGTGCGATGGATGACGGCAGGGCCATTTTGATTACTAGCGAAGTTTAATTGGATTGGTGGAAAACTGCGTTTTAATTATAGATCTGTTCCTTGTAGCTAAACAGGTGCAGCTAGTTAAAATAATAAAATTAAAATTGCAATTATCTGGATTATTTTTTTCATTTATACCATGCTCTTTTTCTATCCCATTCTCCATATACTGTGATAGTTATCCAAAGTTTAGCTTTTCTCAAAACTTACAATTATAGACATTTTTGAAATCATGATTTCTGGAAATCTCTTAGAAAATTTGTGAAATTTTAATACTGCCTTCTTGCCGGTTATGTTCCACTTTTTTTATTTTTCGGTAAGTAATTCTCCGAAATTCAGATTCTAGGAATTCTCGGAAGTATCAATTACATTTATTGGAATTTTAGATAGTGCGACCTCTTTGCTGATCACGTTCTCCTGATACTTTGTCAGTTTTCAAAATTCTCAATTTTCGTGATTTGAAGTTCGAAATTGTTGGAAATTTTGAAAAATTGTTGGAATTTTTGATAGCGCGACCTCTTCCCATATATACAGCACAGATGGTTGCAGTTACCATTGCAGAAACGTTGCAATCTTGCAGAGACATTGCAGGATATAAAATTGCAAACTTTCGATAGCAATATTGCAGCAATGTTTCAAAAATAATGAAAATACTATATTTTCTGTTTAAAAAATTTTTCTAATTACGAGAATTTTATAATGTTATTTTCGTTGATACCAATAATGCGCGAATTATTAAGTACTTGATCAGTGCGGTGTTGCTCGCAATCTCCATCTATTGCGAAGCGACATAATTTCCTTATGCCCATTCTACACCTAGGGATGATCCTACTTGTGGCTCATATATCCGATACTCGCTTCTATACCTAAAGCTAACCCTACTTACAGCTTATCCGAGGGAGTAGTATAAAGTGTAAAAGGTTTACACTTTGGCTGGTTTCCAATCGTACCAAAGTACAACTACAGTGTACCTTTTACACTTTATACTACTTCCTCGGATAAGCTGTAAGTAGGATTAGCTTTAGGTATAGAAGCGAGTATCGGATGAGCCACAAGTAGGATCATCCCTAGGTGTAGAATGGGCATTAGGTTACTTCGCAATAGCTTGCTGTGTATTGAAAAAGGCCCGGATGCATGTAATTAGTAAATTCTCTGCTTATGTACAACAACAAATTATTCCAAAAATATTGCACTGAAACATTGCTATAATGTTGCACCGCAATCTTTCTGAGGGCGGACATTTCAACGTTACTGCAATCCTCCAGAAACGTTGCAGCAATTTGCGCAACGTTGCTGCAATATTGCAATCTTGCAATGTAACATTTCTGCAATCTTAACCTGCAATCTTTCTGTGCTGTATGGGTACCCACACAGCACGGGGAACTCCCAGAGAGCTCCTGAGGAGCTCTTAAAATTTTTCATAAGCTTAACTTGAACTTCAAACGAACTCGCACAGAGCTCCTTGGGAGCTCCTATGTCCGCTCTTGAGAGCTCCTTAGGAGTTTTATTTAAGCTCCCTGCGAGCTTAAATAAAGCTCACAGGGAGTTCTCAAAAGCGGACATAGGAGCTTCCGGGGAGCTTCATTTAAGCTCGCAGGGAGTTTAAATAAGACTCCTCAGGAGCTCTCAAAAGCGGACATAGGGGCTCCCGGAGAGCTTCATTTAAGCTCGCAGGGAGTTGAGAAGTCATGTTTTAAAATGTACGACATACGACATACGACAGGTAAGTACGACATGCCACCTTGGACACTTGGGGAAGATTGTAGCAAAATGCTGAAAAAAAGGTACACCTAATATGACATATAGTACAGCTAGAGTGCTACCCCGATGAAATGCAAGACACCATATGTATATATGGATAATCAATCACATTTTATGTAATATTAATGTTTTTCTCATTTGTATATTACATAATTCGATATGTAAAAAATACTGAAGAATT